CAGTATCGATTGACATCATAGATAAATATGTAATGAAAAAGAATCTTATTCTAGATCCTCATTACTGATTCACATATATTTTTTCATGTCTAAATTCATACCAATTTATATAAAAACAAAAATTTGAGGATAAAATAAACGATACAAAAGATTGTTTCGTAAATGTATTATAAATTACTATTTATCCTAAATAAGTTTCAATAGTTCGTATCAGATTTAATATTGTTGTAATCAAGAGTATACATTAACTAATATTTGCTGATGAAAGTATTTATAGTCATTGTTGCATATGATATATCTTTTGAATGTTTAAAAACTAATTCAATACATATATTTTATTTGATATGTAATAATGACATCTATTTAATACAACTGAAAAAAAGTCTTTCTTTACATAGATTGGCAATATTAAACAATTTAAGTTTCAAATTTTATTTTTTCGAATCAAATATCAATAATAAAGAATTCAATTTTATGTTTTATTCTTTCGATTATCTATTCTCTAAGTAAAATCTAAACTTCAATAAAACACACTATCCAAAATATACTACAACTGTTAAACACTCTTTTTCATATCGTTATTCAACAATAAACATAGTTTCTTTATTTCATACAATAAATTTTTCAACAATGTTAATAATCAAAAACAAGAAAAAAGAAATATTCAACTACCAAAAAACAAAAAAGACAACGAACAAATCCGTTTAAATATAGTCATAACATCATAAAAAAAAACAATTATACATATTGGTAATAACCTATAAACCAATACGATAAAAAACAAAAGATCTTGTTTACATTTGAGAACATAAATTGCGTTTTTGAGATACATATAAATAAACAAAACATACATCAAAACCACCAAAATAATATTGAATAATAATAGATAAAAAAAAAACAACAAGTTGAGATTCATTCACAATTCAGTTGTATGATGTACATTTGATGTTTGTTGTTGTTCTTTTTGTTGATTATTAATATAATTAACAATAAAATCTGCATCTAAATTTCCAATTTCATCACCGAGAAAATCCTACGAAAAAAAAAAAACAAGAAAATTTTCATTTAAATATAAAAAACAAAAAGCTTCTTCAAAATTTACCTGTCGCTTTGAATCATTTGAACCTTTATAATATTTAACTGTTGGATAAGCACGAATTGATGCTCGTTCGCAAATTTGTCTATGATTATCACAATTAATTTTGCCTAAATTTGCTTTTCCATCGAGTCTCTTTTTAAAAAAAAATCAAGCAATTCAATTGAATCTTTTTCAAATAAAATATCACTTACACGTGCAATATTTTCAAATATAGGTGAAAAATGATGACAATGTCCACACCAAGGTGCTAAAAGTTAACATAAAAAAAAAACATTTTCAATCAATATTCATACAACAAAGCTAACCATAAAAATCGATTAACCAAGGTTTTGAATCACGTAAAATATTTGTTGAAAAATTGTTTCCATCAAGTTCGGTAACTGTACTGGGTAAATATTGAAATGCCCATGATCGTAATGAATTTGCATCACGCCATCCATTATTATATAAACTAAATAGAATCAAAAATAAAACGAATATAATTATATTTAATAACGAAATTATTTTTTACATATAAGTTTGTCCATCAGCATTTGGTGGATAAAGACGAATTGTTGGATAACTATAAACACCTTGTCTTTGACATAGATACGATTGAACTGTACAATCTACTTGTGCAACATAAGCAATACCTTTTAAATACTAGACAGACAAAAAGAAAACATTTGTTAGCGAAAACTCTTTGGGATTCAAATGTGAAACACAATATCACTGCTCTTGTTAGTTACAGAGAAATTATTTTATTCTATTTATTTTGGGACATAGTTCTTCACTATTCTTTTATTTTATGCGTTAAAATGAATCATTGTATGACTGTGTATCTTTCTCCTGTCCTCAAAGTTTTCGTTTGTTTTTGACCAAGGGGGGGGGGGGGGGGGGGGAATTTTTTTTTCCAAAAAGAATCTGCTGGGGGAAAAGGAAAAAATTTTTCCAAAGAAAAAACCCCCTGAAGAAAAACGATAAATTTTTC